GAGATTTTTAATTGTGCCTAGTGGTCTCTCAGTCTATGGCTGAACATAGATAGTTCCCTGAACATAGATAGTAGCTTTGAAAGTGGTACCCCACCTTATGTAGATTGCTTCATTCATTTTTGTTGTAGACCTGCTACTTGATCTGACAATTGTAGTGATGGGGATTGTTGATTTTTATGATTTAAATCATAAAGCTGTTTGTGCCAAGTGAATAATTGAGCATTTGACTGTTTCTTAAGTGTAAAAGTCCATTAAAAAATTCCCCTCTTATGGTACAGGGGAGCATGGTCAGACCAGGCCATCAAGCCAATTTGTCATTCCAACACCTGATTTTGGTGGGAACAATAGATAAAGAACCTGCCAGTGTGGGACTATGAGTTATGAATTTTGGGAAAGTAGGAATATTCTCTGGTTTGGGGATGCAAGACACGCCATGCATCGTACAGGTTATGCTCATCCAGTAATTTATTAAATGCCTTACATTTACACTTAAAGGGTTTACATCTAGGTGTTTGTGAATCAAGCAATGTATCTAAGTTTGCAATATATCAGACCCTTAAGTGGGTCTTATATGTATTTAAAATCTACATAGACAGCCACAATGCCCTCCTAAATCATGAGTAGTTTGCTAAGAATGTGATGTAGAGAATTTCCATTGGTCAGTGTTGGGGAAGTATATTTTCACAATTGTATATACAACATTGTTGATTAAAAAAGTTAAGAACAGGAATCTGCCATCTGAATCAATCACAGTATTAATTGAGATGTTATCGTCAATTAAAATCACTGTCTTAAATTCCTCTTGTAATGGTACACAATGAAAAACCTCTGAAGAAGTAAAACAATCTTTATGAAATGCGTAAGGTGGATATTTCGATTCCTGCAGCAAGGTCAAAAGAGTTACAGTTACAGAGTTACATTTTGGAACCTGCATTCACCACTGAACACACCCCAATTACTTGCTAACTCCAGCTACTATCAGGCAGTGTCGAATGAAGGTGCGAAAGGACATTGTGGAAAACTGCAGCTTTCAATATGGGGATTTATCTCCTGAAAGGCAACCTCTATTTTGGATAGTGTGTTTTAAATATTTTTCAATAATAAATTGATGATTGTGGTGGACCAGGTATCATTCCCTGAGGTTGCCCTGAAGTTATGTTTAGTTTTCCCGAACAGACACGTATCCCTCTGTTTGTGAACTGAACAGAACTGGTGTGTCACTCCTCCTTTATTGACTCAGAACACCGACCATCCCCCGGCTGTTAACCACAATTAAAGGATTAACTTGAGTGCTTTCCCTGGGTGGCCGTCATTCATTTAACCGAATGCCATTTTGTCTCCCCAACACATGCAGCAGTACTTAGTCGTCAAGCGCGTGGTAATCATTTCAGCTGCACGTTCTCGCAAATGCCAGCAGAGATGGTATCGCTGCCCGTACACTTTCCTGACTGGCTACACGAACCATGTTCGGGAGATAAGAACTACTGACTGTGGGGAGCATTTTTCATACAGGAACCCCCAAAAGGAGACCGGCCGCTGCCATGGATTTTCTGGAACTTGTTTGGGGCATCCCCTTGTTGCTGGCCGGTCAAAACTTCACCCGAATGGCGATTCCGTTTCACCAAACAGATCTGAGCACTTTTTGGATAATATTTTCTTATGTTTCTGGGGTGATTTATAATATTTTATGATACTTCCTGTGCCTGAGACTTAATTGAGTTCGCTTTCCATGGACTCATTTATCTCCCAGACACAGAGACGACGGGGAGGAGTTTGTACTGTACTCTTTGGAGACCCCATGCTGGGGGTCTGTGCATAAAAAGCCAAGTGTGGCACAATAAACCTTAGTTGACTCCCAGAATTGGGTGTCATCGACTGTAAAAGTTACTGGGGGAATGGGCTATAATCACTGAACAGCACTTTCTTCCAGCTCCACTGGATTTCAGCTGAGATATCCTATTTTAGGATTGCAGCTCTGCTACAATGATAATACAGTAAAGCACTATGGATCATTTTATTTTTATTTAAGTAAGCATATGTGATTCATTCTAACTTACAAGTGGATAATTTGTGGATAATCGGAACCTACTTGTACTTTGGTTATTGTTCTATGATACTGAGTACTAAATTTAGTAAGAAATTAAAGGAACACTATAGTCATCAAAACAACTTTATCTTAATAAAGCAGTTTTGGTGTATAAATTATGCCAATCCAGTCTCACTGCTCAATTCTTTGCCATCTAGGACTTAAATCACCTTGTTTATACAGCCCCAGCCACACCTCCTTGCATGTGACTTGCACAGCCTTCCTGAACACTTCCTCTAAAGAGACTTCATAGTTTACACTTCTTTTATTGTGAATTCTGTTTAATTTAGAACAGGCTTCCCCAAAATCCAGCCCTCCAGTTGTTGCTGAACTACAACTCCCATGATTTTATGAAGGAAATAGATGGGCTGAGAATCATGGGAGTTGTAGTTCAGCAACATCTGGAGGGCTGGAGTTTGGGGAAGCCTGATTTAGAATGTCCTATCTCTTACACTGTTAATAGCTTGCTGTTACATTTGTATCCCATTATTACTATCCCTTATTTTTACATATAGAGATTTTGGACTGTGATGGACTTATATATTATTTGTGGACTCCTATTTTCTTAGGCTACATTTGTTTTTAAATATAATTTCTAGGTTAGATTTATTTTTCCTTTATTAACTTCTGACTTATGCCACTGCTTCTAGTCACCTTTCCATGTTGGGGTAAAATTGGCTTTGCATTGTTCATAAGGCATTGCAAATCTTATACTACTGACTCTACTAGGATATTTAGGAGATCAACCTCTACTACCACTTCCTTACTAGGACAATATATTTTTACTTAAACTTAGACATATATTAATTTTATTTTTTCCTTTTTTATATATTTAATCTATGTAAGTATTCAAAGACATAATTTTATCTATGCAAATTGTATTCTCATTCTACCAATACAGCCTTCCCTATAAAACATTGAATAGGCTTCTTTAGAAAATGCTTTAGTGCTTTAGAATACGCTTTATTTGTTTTATAGGAGATTACTTGAAAAAAATAGATATTATGTATAACAATTTTTTAGGTAATCTCCTACATAACAAATAAAGTGTATTCTAAACCACTAAAGCATATTCTAATGAAGCTTATTAGACAATATGGCACCCCTGGTTATATTGCTGGACTGAACGGTTGAATACATAGAGGGAAGGGACTTCAGCATGACAGATGTTTTTCTACATCAGAGTTTTTTTACTTAGTTTCTTGTTTTAGATTATTATTATTATTATTATTATTATTATTATTATGCATTATTTGATTTGAATCCCTTAAGGACACAGCTTCAAAAGCTTGTCTTACCCTTAAGGACACAAGCCATTTTTTTTAATTTTTGCTGTTTGAGTTCAACTGCAATTTGCATCTCTTTCATTTATTGCACCTACACATATAATATACAGTTTTTTTAGAGGGCAAAAGGGGTTTTAATTCAATGTCAGATATAGATATATAAATTCTTACTAATTATTAAAAATGCCAAAAAATGGGAAAAACAAAACATTTTTTTCACAGTTTCGGCAATAATAGCTTGTGCATAATATGTCCAGCTTTGGAAAAGTAATTCAAATTAAAGTCATTTATGTGTCTTGATCTGTTGTTTTTTTTTAACCCCTGAGGGTTAACTTTTATTTATTTTTTAACCTATAGAGGTTCCATTTATTTAATTAATTAATTTAAGTATTTTAAAATTATATATTTTTCTAGCTGGGATGGGTGGAAGTTATGGAAAATTGGGGAATTTACTGTTAGTGCTGCTTACTGGTGGTTAGGTGTTAACGGTAAAAAAAGTTTATAAAAATTTTAAAAGCTTAAAAAAAATTTTAAGAAAGTTTAAAAAGTTTTAAAAATTTAATAAGTAAATTGCAGCAATATGGGGTTAACTTTAGTAAATTATGTAAATTTTCCATTACGCGTCCTAAACGGTAGGACAAGCATGACAGAAAATGTACGTCTTGCAATGGGAAGGGGTTAATGACCAAGTTACAGCTATACATTCCCATTTAATGTAGGGTGTTATTAGGCATTCAGAATAACAGATCAGTTATTATGTTGCCATTGCCTGACTATATTTAATTTAATTTAATTTGATTAGGCGGAATCCCATATATTATTTTATTAAAATAGGAGGAATGGGAGAAAAAATAGGGGACTGCACTGCTAAGTATTACTATGTTTTTTTTAATTAAGTAGAGACCACTTATCACTATTTATTACTATTAGACAATTTGTGATATTCGGTTATTTGTTGATTTTTTGTTTTATTTTTCTTTCTTTTCCTGTTTCTTTTCTGCTTTCACGATATGAATTTGTTTAAGAGACAACAGTTCCCACAATACAGCAAGTGATGTGAGGGCATGCAGGGACATCACAGCATTATTCCCTGATCCTCATTTCCTCCCCCATAAATATAAATCAGAAAGCAAGTCCTGCCTGAGGTTGAGCATACATTAATATGGCTGCTCCTTTTATGGTGTGGCATGTCTCTGGAGCTCTGTTGGTGATAAGTGCTGATACCTGCTGCAGCTCCCACACATATAGGAACCTCTTCCTCCTCGCCACAGCATTCAGAAGGGGATCGGTGGGAGGTAGACCAGGTATGTGTGAAGCCTAAGACAAGAAGCGCGACAGGAACCATCTTGGCTTAGGCCCCGCGCACAAGTGGTTTTTGTTTAACCCTTGCAGTGACATTTCGTGTATAAGACATCCCCCAATTTTAGACTAAAACAATTTAGAAAAAAAACAGTCTTATACACAGAAAAAGGTATATTAATCTGATTTGGGATAGCATATGTTTTGTGATTTTATGTTGATTAATAGTGTTTTAGGAGTGTATCATATAACTGTATGTGAACATGAAATATTTCAAATAATAAAACAATATATATTATTTACAACAAAATAGTATTTTAGATTGATATATTATTAGTTTTTCATTGTTTTTGCATTTGGTAAACTGTTCATGGAATGGAAAGTGATAAATAATACAATGACATGGAATTGCATCAACAGTTTTATTGTATATCATGGTTAAGATTAAGCTTAAACACAAATTGTTGATGTTTAATACTGAACTCTCCTGAATGAACCAACTCTAGAGTTCATTGCTCCCCAATCAGTAAATCGCCTATACTCTCCAGGTCTCAGGTAATACTGACGCCCCCTGTAGTTGGGCTCCTCGTAGAACACCCAGTGACCATCAAGAACATGGCAAGAGTGGATGTCATGGTAACGGAATTGCTCATAGACATGAGGACAATCTTCAGTGAACTCCATCATCTGACCTCGGAAATCTTCCCTTTCATAGATCCTTAACTGGAATGGACCACGGTGCTGAGATGAAATAAAATACAAAATAATGTTAGTGAAAAAATTATAAAATACAAAATATTAAATATTTTGGGAAAATACATTGTTATATGTGTTAAAATGACAGCCTAAAGAACTCCATCCAACTTATTGTAGTTATGGTGCTAATAGGCTATGGATGGAATCCCTCCAGTGTTTTTTGTCATACCATTTTCAGGTGATTTAATAATCAATGGATTACCTGGCACTCAAAATTCAGCATACAGCAGGATAATAATAAGGAAATCCAAAATAACCTGTAGTGGTTATGGTGCTTCCCTAATTCTTTTATTTTTTAATAAATTGCACTTAGCTTGCAATTAACACACTAGGAGAAAATATGTTCCAAGTTAAATGCACTGTTCAATAATGGACGTTCAAAAAAAATTTTTTTTTAGGAGTTAAAGAAATTAATTGCAACATTTAGGCTAAAATAACCTCAAGTTGTGACTAATTTGGAGAATTTTTTTTTTTTTAAGCCAGCTATTATTGCCTCAATACATGTCTAGTTCACATCAGTTCTGACTTTAGTAATAAAAGACCTTTAATAATTTGAATAAAAGCCGATATTTAAATGAAATAACATGATGGCCCTTTTATAGAGAAGACATATTGAACAACTAAATGACTTTTGAGCTTCTTACCTGGGGAGTAAGACGACAGGACCTGATAGAGTCATTGAATCCCATCCATTGCTGGAAATTTGGATATTCTCCTTTTCTTAGGAAGTACTGGTGTCCTCTGTAATTGGGATGTTCATAAAGGATCCAGTTTCCATTTTCAACTCTGATGGAATTGCAGCGATTTAGATATGAGGTGATGTCTGGACTATCAGAGTTGATTTCATAGGAACGACCCTGGAAGTTTGGTTCCTCATAGAAAGTGATCTAAATAGAAAATAGGAAATGTAAATTCATGCTTTGACATAATTAAAGCATTAAATGAACACTGTAGGAACTGTAACTACTTCATCTCATTAAAGTGGTAATAGTGGCTGTAGTCCCATGGTGCCTTTTTTCCATTCAGTGTTAAACAGTTTGAAATGTGTTAATGCTAAATGACAGCACTTAGTAGGCCATCCCTTCTGTGCTTCTTGGGCTACTGAGGAAGCATTGGCACAAGCTGCAATTCAACTGACTACTTTTAGCCTATCGTAGCTCTCATTGCTGAAATGAATTGGTATGGCTAGAACAAAGTCTACAATATCTGGCTTACCTATGATAGAGTTGTGGCTGTGGCTGGCCAAAGCTCATTCTTACAATTATTTTAACTCCATAATTAATCAGTGCCCATCCTCCATCCACTATAGAGCAATCAATGCCCCATATGTCATTACTCTAAAGAAAAGGTATGCAAGCAGGATGGGAGCTCATATAATGTAATATACATTTATATAACTGCAATTAGAATTTGGATGGAACAGAGAATAAGACAGATATTATGAGTGAGGTTTATAAAGACATACATAAAAAGCATTCAGAACAAGTTAAAGAGATGGAAGGAGACAGGGTTTTAGGTCAGGCTAAGAGTAGATGACTGACATGAATTAGGGAGTGAGACAGGTATAGGGGGAGGCTTGTGTTATAGAAAATGAGGGAGCAGAAAAATATACAGAAAATGAGACAGGAGGAGAACTAAAATGGATAAAGTGGGAGACAGAAAAACAGTGGGAGTAAAAGGATTTAGAGGCAGAAAAGGAAAAGCTTATTTTTTTGATAAAACAAATTCATTTTGGATGCACTTAGTTTAAATAGTTATAGATATTTTTTAAAGTATAATAACTTGAACAAGTTATTCTAACAATACAATAAGCATCAGAAAATATTACCTTAACCATTTTGATAAATCCTGTGGGAGCTCAGTACTGGTCATAGATAACTAGTGAGTCCTTTTTATACTCTAGCAACTGCTGATGTGTGCAAGTACATATACTGAAAAGACATTGAGTTTTTTTCTGTTGACTATAGAAAACATATAGTTCTTTTGTTCTTCATTGTTGCTGTGGTTGTTATTTTCTTTATTTTAAATGCACTTGCTGAAAACCTTATTGTCTGTTGTGGGTGGACTGCAAGTTTATTTATGGTATTTTGGAAATTAAAATTGAGTCACAAATGGACAGGTATATGCTAATGTGTGTACAATTTGTGGAGAAATTATTAAGCAGCATATGTGGGTGTAAAAATATAAAAATACATCATATCAAACATAAGTACAGGATGTATGGGGTAAATAAAAAAGTATGGGCCCAGGGTGTATAAAGCCTCTGTGAGGTAGTAACCTCAGAGAGGATTTCCCGGAGGGGGGTATAGATGCATGCTCGGGCATCTTCGATGGTAGCCCCTAACCAAAGGGGCAGCGGGGGGGGGAGGGAGATGATATATGTGCCACCAGGATTTCTGTCTTCCTTACGATATTGACTGAAGGTCAATGAGCCAATTGTGGTGTTTATCTAGGGGTCGGTTAAAACCTTATGCCCTGGTGTGAGTGTAAACTGTATAGGAATACTGGGCAGCCCTTAGGTGAATCCTGTGGGCAGGTGATCAAGTAATACATAGCTAACAGACATGCAAGTATATGAGGTGCGGTGCCAAGACCGCGCATGTAATAAGTTCAAACCTTTTTTATTTTTAAAAGGGTTAAAACAGTGAACTATGCAGAAGTAACTGTGTGAAATGTAGATGGTAAACAATGGGTATTTGATGCCTGTCTTAGCAGGCCGACATAGAGGGTTCAGGTTGTGACGGCTGCATACATGTCTGACGGAGGCATTTGGGGTACAAATAGGCTGATATTTGTCGGATCCCATCTGGGAAGTTCAGTGGCTGTGTTCAGCCTAGCTTTGTCCAGAGAGTACCGCGGGAGGCCCAGAGTCCCTAAGAGTGTTGTTGCCCCCTGAAGATATTGGATTGGATACGAGGCCTCCCCCTGTAGTACCAGCAATGTGTGGGATGGTCGCCACCGATAGCTGATGTTGTGTGCACAGAGGAGGATGGTGAAGGGCTGGAGTGATCTGCACCATGTCAGTGTGCTTCTCGAAAAAAAAAAACACATAGAAGGTAAGAGAGAAATTTTTGAATGTGTAGGGAAAGTGACCCCTGATTGCATTCATGAGAGCCGCCTTTTTCTGTCCGTTCCTGAATCTCACCCTGGCCAGTTTGGAAATTCTGAACATGCCATCAAAACTCACAGCCTTCGCCTATCTTCAATTGTCAATTCTCAGGAAGTCAAAATGTCAAGAAAAATGATTAAAAATAACTAAAATTTATTATGGAATGATCCTAGTATTAAGATTTTACACACAAATCTTAATATTGTACATAGAGGATTACGCAATCTAGAAAGAGTTTTAACTAATAATTTGATTATGGGACAAAACCGTTGGTCCAAGCGGCTCATGGGATATCGTTGGCCCTCGTGGTCCTCCTGTTCCGATGCTGTAGAGAATTGCAAATTAGGTTCTCCACACCTATCTGCATAGCTTTTAGTAGATTTGCTTATTTTCACATTTGAATAGTTACCTCCCTCCTGGTCACTCGGCTTCTTCTGCTTTTCGTGCCTCCATTTGTTATTGCTGTCTGTATGGCCATTACATATTACCAAGCCTGTGGTGCCTTTATTTGGGTGAGCCCCAACTTACAGTGACTATTACTGCTCTGCCATGGAAACTTGCAAATCCTTACCACGGATAAGTGATGATTAATGTGCTGTGGCTGCATCATTTGAGAAGGCACTTTCTAAAGAATTCCCAGCTGGCCAAGTCTGTCTCTAAATACAGCAACTATAGGGCCGACTAAGATGAGTCTAACTCCTTTTCCAACAAGTGTTCCTGCCCAATGAAATGCCACTGGAAAGGCAAAGGGGCTAAACTCAAGTTTGCCAAGTACAAAGCACCCCTCAGGTGCATCAAAAACCCAGCGCACATGACCTTTTGTAGGACAATGAACAAGTGATGTCACAATCGCACTTGATTCTCGATGAGTGGTAGGCCCATGCCTCTGGATGCAACCCATGTTTGATCCATGGAATTGGCAAAGATTTGCTTCTGCTTCCTGGGGAATATTAATGTGACACTCTTTTCAGAAAATCTTTGTGCAGCACTGTATCACATAAATTAGAAATTGTATTATCTAAAAGCCAAAGAGCTTGGCTTTCAGCAACAAAGCAAATTATGCACAGAGGCCTTCATAAAATAATTAAATAAACATGTGAATGTATTCATGTGTTTATATCATTACACAAGGGGTCGTCAATGGAGCCATGCCACTAGCTGTTTTGGGCACTTATAATACACGACTGGAACCTATCTTCCTGAAGGGAAGGAAGCAGGCAAGGCTTCCAGTATTCCAGAGGCTTAGACAGGGGCTGTGGTGGCCAAGGATGAACTCGGGAGAGATTCTCAAAAGGAACCTCTTGCAACTGTAATGCCCACCGTTCCAACTGCAGACCAGCTTTCTCAAGGCAAATGGACAGAGACTTTCTGATTTGGCCAGCAATGTGGAACTAACCAAAGATGAAGAATGGCACAGAGGCTAGGACGAAATGGCAGAATGCCCTTACATAATCACCATTGGTTGAAAGTGAACCACATGGTCGTGCCCTTAATAGGGCGTGACCTTTAAATAATGGAAAATTGGAAGCTGCATACAATATGGCTGACTGAAGAAGCTTTTAAAGTGAAGAGCATTTTCACATTTTATTAAGCTGGACTTTTATATTAAGTGCAATCTTATTGGATTTATATTGTTTTTTTTCAATGCTAATACATTTCAAAGCTATAGCACTGTTGCCAGCATTTTATATTTTATAATCCTTGTCTGTATTTGGAGAAGTTTAACTCCAGAATCTAATACCAAACTAATAACCTCAGAGCCACTAAAGCTCTAAATAAGGTAATTTTATTCCTCTTTGTATCAATTTGGATTTTATTGAATATGCTGGCCTATGATTGTGTCAATTTGGAACTTCTACATAATAAGAAAGGTGGGATAAAAGCTTGAAAGGCACCTCTGCGCACCTGAAAGATCCTATTCTTATTGGCTCTATCAAATGTGGGCATATTTAATACCACATTACTTTAATTTATATTTTTGGGTTGCTACCATCCTCACTATATGGTTTTATGAGTGTATCTTTTCATGTATTGCTGCTTTAACCTCTTATTGGCAAGAGGGTAGGAAGTCTTTATTTGCACAGTGCTCCACTTCTGTGTTATAAGTCTTGCATTTATACTTTTTTATTTATTTGTGATTTATTTATACTTTTATTAGATATTGTTGTTTGGTAAGGGAAGTGAGGTACCGTTCATGAGTGTTTTTGAGCAGCTCCTATTTATATCTATACGACTGCTAGTGCTACACACTACTTATGTGTATCACTGTTTTGCACCTTTCTCATTTTTTCCAAAATTGTGAAGGCTTATCCATAGACGCTTGGATTCTTCATGATGGTTAACCTGCCTGGACCCGAAAGACGCCTACCTCTTGGTCCCCACCCATGAAAATAGTCATCCTTTTCTCCAGTTTCTGTGGCAGAGGAAACCATAACAGTTCACCTGCCTTCCACCTGCCTTCATTTGAACTCAGTTCGGCCCTGTGCTGCTTCACAAAGATTCTGAAGCCAGTGGTTGGTTTTGGGGGGTAATCCAATGAATAATTTATCTGAATGACATTCTTATCTTCTGTTGGAACAAGGCAACATTACATGGCCAATACAAATGCACAAAAATAAGTTCAGCACTCCCACTACTCACGGGCGTCAGCAATGACTATAGATACATACAATAAAAACCAAAGAAAAAACATACTTGTGCACTATTCCAAATCCCTATGCATATTTATATAAATGGAGGTATTTAGTTCCCCTCTATTGGCCACCAGGTGTACACCCACCTGCCATGGCAAACCTATGAGATGGGTCCTACTCTAATAATTTACCATGCTTGCTTCAGCATCAGGCAAAAAAAATCTCTAATGAGACAAGAGGGGTATTTAAACCTCTACATACTTATTAACCATTAATAGGGAACACATGGGATGAGTGGCAGCACTGTAACATGGCTGTGTGATACAAAAGCAAATACAACGTTGCGTGGCCACACCGGTTATATGGTAAGATTAATAGAATATCTGGGTTTCATTGTCAATCGATGCATGTCTGCCCTGGTCCCCTTACAGGTGGCTCAGTTCCTGGGCTTCGAAACAGGTTTGATGTCTTGTGCTCTTTGACTTCCTGTTTGAAGGTTTACGCTATTCATAAGGAGATTGGAGAGGGTGCTCCATCGCGACTCCATAGCGCTCTGACTGCTTGTACGCATAGTGGATCCTCCTTCATCCAGGCAATATTCCAGAGCCCGATACATTACCAGCCTATGCAATGTGTGAAGGCTCATTTTCTGTAATGTATGATCAACCTGTCCCGGTGATAGACGAGGTTCGAACGGAACACCAGTACCAGTGGTGACTCGACAGCATGCAGGCATGGAACAGTTTCAGTCATTTTCATTAATCATAAGGATTTTGTTCTGGAGTCGGATGCCAGCCTCTGGGGCTGGGGGGTGGGTAGGATCAATGTCAGTTAAAACACAGGAGGGGTGTGGACAGCTCAGGAACTTTCCATGCACATCAATTATCTGAAGCTCCTAGCAGGCTTGCTCACTATTTCTGCTTCAGATAGACAATGTGTCGGCAGTGCGTCACATCAATCTTCTCGAAGGCATTCACTCCCATGCACTGTCAGACCTCATGAAGGAAGTCTTTGACTACTGCCTTCCTCTCAACATAGTGCTCATGATGGAATATCTACCAGGGAAACCAACCTCATGGTGGATTAGTTCTCTCACCATTGGGACATCAGCGACTGACAATTAGACACTAAAATTTTTGCTGTC